TCTACGCTCTTCGCATAATCGGCTTTTGCACTGTCCTGCCCATCACAGTAACTTTACTCATTCTTCTTTCTTCATACAAGTCATTTCTCTCTGGAACACGCTTCCAACGAATGTCAGAACCGCAACCAGTCGTTTGAGTTTCAAGCGGAGGGCGCGTGAGTACATTAGCAGAAAGCTGGCAGTTTCATAACATCTTTTATTAGTTTTCATCTTGTTTTAATATAGGATAAATTCATATACGGCTCATAGATAGATTATATTATGTATGATGTTATTTATATCTATCTATATATATATATATATATGTATGATTATATATATTATTATATACGTATTTTATGTGTGCTTTGATGCTCCTTATTAATTTTGATAATTACCACTAACATCTTTGCAGCTTACCACCTACCACATACATTTCTGCACTACCCAAAGGATGACTGGCAGAGAATGCTGTTAGCATTAAGTCCTCCTTATGCAATTGTATTGTATAAAACTTAAATAAATAAATAAATAATATCATTATGTTATGTGACATAATTACTAAGTACCTATTGTTGCAAAATCCCGATAAAAATGCGTGCTCAAGGGACTTAGTATTAGTAACCATTTAGTTATCTAATACCAAAATTATAGTACTAATTACACAAGCTAGATGTCGCTATGCTTAATATTTTTTGTGATTTATTGTATAATTACTTTTTTCTTTCAGATTATCAAAGACGTTTATACAAGAAGATCATGCGAACTAATCGTACATATAGTAAAATATCTGCGTGTGGTTTTTTCTACGTCGACGCTCAATTGACAATAACTGTGATTGGATTTCTAGCAGGCTACATTTGTGTGATGTTACAATTTGCTTTCCTGTGAATTTGTAGACCAAATTTACGGGCTTTTATTTTGACAATAGACAATATATGCTTTAAAATTGAGAATTTTTCATTTGACATAACATAACATCACGCCTTTTATCGCTGAAGGGGTAGGCAGAGGTGCACATTATGTCACTGGACAATGTAACACCCACTTTTCATTATTTATGTTATGAGTCCCATGTAATAGGGGGTGAGCCTATTGCCATATACCGAGCACAATTCCAGACTCCGTGCCGTAAATACTTTGCCCGGCAGTCGAACTTGCGACTATTCGGCCAAAGAGGCAGTCTTTTTTATTTGAGTATGCATCTAACAAGGATTAACTGACACAAATTAAGATTTGTTTTAAACCAAAGGAAACTGGTGACAGAAGATGAAATTAATTGGAAGGGCACAATAGGGCTAATGCCGATACGGAGCCGCAGAGGACTTAACGGGTTTTCGGGGCCTCGGCTCGAAGGTCAGGAGTAGGAACGAGGTGGTTTTTAGTCAGTAAAAAAGTCTGATACTCCCTCTCGCCTCACCCAGGCGGGAGAAGCGATTCGACAATTTTCCCCCCTCAAAAAAACCTTCTTATCGACACATAATTATGGAGATAAAATGTAAAATTAAGCCACCCTGTGTAAAAGTTCTGTCTTCATTAATAAGGTATCTCAAAACTAGGTATAGGTACCTTATACTTAGTAATTTACTTTTTGTTATTATTATATAAAGCTGAAGAATGTGTTTGTGTGTTTAAACGCGCTAATCTCCGAAATTACTGGTCCGAATTGAATAATTATTTTAGTGTTGGATAGTCCATTTGTACTATCTATAGGAGCCGAGCAGAGTGGATGAAACCGCGAGAGAGCACCTAGTATATTATAATCGTAATCGATTGTTAGTACTCTATCAATAAACTTTCGTCATATCAATTATTCACTAGGTATAAGAACGAAAATCGATACATACCACAGGCATTTAGATAGACACATTTATATTTCAAATGGTAGTTCTTAGTAATATTATTAAAAATAATCATTAATGGTTAAATCGAGACGTGTTTGGAATTATGAAAATTGAAAATACCCAAGAAGTCTCATCGCGACAAAATAAAGTGGATTGTCTTGACAAGTAACATTATATATAATGCATTACAAAAAATGTTCAATATTCCAAAACAATAGAAGGCATAGAAGATCAGGGGTCCAAGCGGACCATCAAATAAACAGAAAAAATCTACAAATGTTACATCCATTCCACTACCTTTTAGTACTATTGTTCTCTCAAAAATTTTCATTAAAAGATAACTGCGTTTGTCCTAGCGTAATAAAACGAATAATTGCTGCATTCTTAGGTGTCTGTTACGTTATTATAGTCACAATTTATGCCATGTACTTCAATAAGAACAATGACACTTATATTAATATTCACGGGAACAACAATATAATTAAAATTATTGTGTTTTTAGTAAATGTTTTTTACTGTTTTGGTATTGTTATGATTTTCGTCACAAATATAATTCACCGTCTGAGTAACGTCTCTTTAATTGTATTGATACAAAGAATTAGCGAAAACATTGATATTAAAGGTAATGTTAATAGTATAACGATTAGGAATTGGATATCATCAGTTGCTATTGTTGGCGTAAATATTTTTATTTTCGTAGCATATTTCATAGCAATAAAGGCTAAGTTATTTGATTTGCCTATTTTAATTCGTAACTTTTTCTTAATAACGTTTGATATTAATTATGTTTATGCGATTTTTATTATAACCTTGCTAACAAAATTACTCAATGGATGGGTGAACATCATAATTAATTTCAACGACGAGCGAGAAAATGAAATCAATTGTACCAATTTATTGAAGACTTATCAAAATATTTTGGAGACTTACAGGCTGTATAAGACCATCTTTCAAGGATTGGTATGTAACGTCGCATTTAATGTCAATAACTTCTGAAATAATGATTCTATCTATTCTTATATTCCCTTTAATTTCTCGCAATAGTAGGGCATTGTATAGATTAATGTATTGTACTTTTTTTCTTTTTCTTCTTTGGCAACCGAGTCTCCAATACGATGTTGTCGACTATACTGCCAGTGTCAATTGGTGAATATTGTAATTAGTCTATATTAAATATATTTTCTTTCGTATCGTATTATATCGTAGAAGTAAACGTAAAAGTAGGTAGATTCTAATCCTAGATTATTCTTAAAAAGACATTATGCCCAGAGCTGTATTATCTCTATAGATAACTAGGTAAATGCCTAGGGCGCCACGTTACAAAAGAGCGCCGTGTAATACCCAACTACCCATAGAGTAGTAAATTAAATAAATCAGGGGTGCCTATAAGCTGCTTGCCCAAGGCGCTCCCTAAGTTTAGTCCACCTCTGATTATCCTTGAAGCACCATTTTGAATTTACTTTTCAGATACTGTACATCACGGTCACGGTGTTAAAGCGCAATTTATTTTATGTGTGGAAAATATTACTTTTGATTAAAAAAGCCTCTGAATCACAAACAGAGGTAAGTAGCATTAAATATCGCAGAAAGTTATCCTATTCAAATTAACTTTGCTTAGTGAAAATAGCAATAAACGAGTAAACATGACACCCCCAATACCAGAGCAGTTACTTAAAAGTGCATTTCTGGCCTTCTGGAAAGGGGATTAGGGCTTCGGAAACCTCACCTACACGATGAAACATAGCGTTGTCTAGTCGAGCCAGCCTATTCGTACCAAATTATGGCTCTTCCACATAAAATAAAAATATTTACTTTTTTAGCAACTTCATGTTTACAAGTACCCCATCATTGATATATCAACGAGCCTGTGGATTGCTAAGGATATTGTTTTAGTTATTTGTCATAGTATTCAGTGCGAAAAGTTTTATATTACTGTTGAAGAAGCTAAAATGGCCTGCATACAGCTTATGAAGAATAAGAATTGCCCAAGTAAGTGATTAAACTGATAAGGTAGCAAAATATGTTATTATTGAAATACAAACAAAATAATATAGTAATTCAAATTTATTATTTTGTACTTTTATTCGTAGCGCCATCTCTGACAGCATTGTTGCAGTTTTCTGAGTTTTAGTTTGCATTTCTTAAGACAGATGGCACTATGTTCGAAATTAATAAAGTTTATTTTGCAGATGTACAAGCACATCTTTACAAGAAAGTATTGTGGCAAAGTCGTAATTTTAATAAGATATCTGCATACGGCCTGGTATACGTAGATGCAAAACTACCAATATCTGTTATCAGGCTTCTCACTGGCTATGTCGTCGTTCTGTTGCAATTCAACCTTTAAAATTATGTTCGTTAATGTTTATGAAATAAAACTAATAAGAAGGAAATGTATTATTCATATCATTAGTGTTGGTCTACCTTATTTAACATACCTAATAATACCTATAGGTACATAAGTATAATAACAACAAACAAGTGCTTTTAATAAGCTAAGTACCTATTGCTTCGCTGTTCCAGTGGTCATATGAACTACTGTTGAGCAAGACTCGATTCCCAGGAAATTCTCATTATTAGTCCGTCGTCGTCGTCTTCGTCCCACTACTTACATATTTGATAAAAATGCCTCGTTGGCCGAGTGGTCGCAAGTGCGACTACCGGGCAAGGGGTCTCGGGTTCCCGGGTCGGGCAAAGTATAACTGGGTTTAAAAAAATTGGAACTGGAATTGTGCCTGGTATATGGCAATAGGCTCACCCCCTATTACATGGGACTCATAACATAATTAGTGAAAAATGGGTGTTACTTCTGTGTGCACCTCTGCCTACCCCTTTGGGGATAAAAGGCGTCATGTTATGTTATATTTGATAAAAATGTGTGTCATGTATCACTACCGACCGATTCAGGAATAAAAGGCCGTAATGTTATGTAGTTTCAGGTACCTACATGTGTTGTCGTATGTAAATACCTAACAACTAATATATATTAATTTATAAATATTTTTAATTTTAATACAATTTTATAAATGAGAATTTAAATTATTATGAAAACCAATTCGATATGTTAAGTAAAAATAACCAAATTGAAGTGTGATACGAATCAAATAAATAACACAACATACATTATAATTTAATATTTTTAATAATTAATAACAAACAATAACACAATGACACACACATAACATAACAATGTAATAAGTAGTCTTTTATTTAAAAATAAAAATAGTAGTGAGTTCACAAGTTGAGTGCAAAATACAATTAAATTACAAATCAAATTACAAAACTTTAAATGAGATACAGTAACTTGAATGTCAGGCAATAATAAACATCTTATTAGATGCAAATCTGCCTATACCAACAGAATATAAGATCAATGGATAAAATCTCACCATATACAAAAGGCAGGCAACACACTTCTAAACCCTGTTGTTGAATGTGTATGGGCGAATACCACAAGGTAATCCGGAGTGTCCCTAGCCTTATTATACTCATATCCCATAAAGACCAATCAATTTTAATAATTATACCATAACTTTAAATAAAAATTCCACCTTTCTACAACTAACTAAGTTACCGTAATTATAAAATTTGGTGAGCAAACTTCTAGCGATGCCTAACTTTCATTCTTACCTTAATTATCTACTTAATAGTATTTACGTTGGAATAATTGACAAGTCTTTTTATCTAAACTAAATATACAATATGTAATAAATAGCCGCTACTATAAAAACCAGGAATGATGACAATGGTACCCAATACTTTCTCAAAAAACTTCTATCGTCTTTGTCCACAACCATTTTCTTTTCCTTATACTTCTTCTTTTTACCGCTCAACTTCCACTCATACTCTGCTAGTTCTTTTCTATTCTTCTCTTCTTCTAACTCCCTCAACCTCTGTTTTTCTTTTTCCTGTTCCAATTTGGCTGCTGCTTTCTTAGCCTCACAGGTTACATCACACAATATCTTTGTTTCTCCACTTCTGACAGAGTTGCATGGAGCTTCCTTCTTAATATTACCACATGGACAGTACACTTTAGTCTTCTTTGTGCATACTTGATTGCCACAAGTTCCCGAATGACATGTGTTACGGCAGCGATGGCCACATTCCAAGTTCTTCGGACATTGCTGCTTGCATGACAGCATTTCTTCTGTAGCAGTTGATAGCTCCCGGCAACGTAAGTAGATCTCTGTTAGGCCACAATGACAAGCCAATCTTTCTAGTATCTCACATGGACGGCATGGACCTGGGTGACAGGCACGAATAGGACACTTATGAGCACATTTCACTGGACGAGGAACTGAACATTCTCTGTTGCATTGCTTGCAACTAGAAGGCACATTTGGATACTCAGGCAGGGGACTATACAGATGACACATCATAGTGCAGTTGTGGTTTCCACAAGCCAGTGGTTTCCCACAATCTCTTCCACAAGGTCTACGAGTAGCTGTGTGACAGGGCTGATCATCTGTCTCATGCTCCCCAAAACAAACTATTGAAACTGGCGTTTCACATGGAGGACACTCCAAGGTCATAATTTTGGTTTTAGGTGGCTGCACCTCCCATGGAGTGGCAGGTTTCTCAACCTGCTTGAACACCACGGCAACATATTCATGACATACAGCTTTACAGTTATGTCCACACTTAGGATACTGCTTGTCACAAATAGCTTTGCATGGGGGACAGTCACCAAAATGACATGTATGTTTATTTTCCTCAGTATGACCACATTTGTATTTAATTTTACAAGGCAAGTTACACTTGGGTGGTTTTGTCTGGCGTTCTCGCCCACATGGAACACGTACAAAAGTTTCCTTACATCTGCATGTTACTTTAGATTCTAAAGGGCATGGATAGCATGGTCCTCGGTGACAAATGTTGGTGCATTTATGTCTGCCACATTGTAGTCCCTTGTCGCATGGTTTCTCACATGGAGGACAGTTTCCATTGCAGCACTTCCTTCCACAGCCATGCTTGCCACATGACCTTGTCCCTCTACATTTAGACTCACATTTATAGTCTTTGCTACAAGGCAGTGGCCTTGTATGTGTGGAGCAATGACATTTTTTGGCGACCAAAACTTGACAAGGTGGGCAATTTCCATTATGACATTTCTCAGGGCAAGTGTGTTCACAATCTACATGCTTCTTACCACAAGTACCTAAGCAGGTTTCCATGACATCAGGACATTTAAGGAAGCGCTGGTTGGCACCGCAAGGACATGATGTCATACCCGAGTTGGGACAGTCACCACATTCCCCAGCATGGCAGATTCTCTCACATTTATGATAACCACATGAAAAAGACTTATTACAAGGCTTCTTGCACTGCCAGAATGGATCATTGCATGGTCTCTTTGACTTCTCACTACCACATTGACATGGCTGAATGCTAGTGTAAGTACAATCAGGGCAATCTCCAGCATGACATACATTTTCACACTTATGAGTTTTACATAATAGAGTTCTCTTACAAAGCTGGCCACAAGACCACTTGGCTGCGCTGCATCTCACTCTCTTTCTCTCCTTTTCACAGTAACATATTCCATTGACAGTTTGTGGACACGGGGGGCAAGGACCAGGGTGACATAGCAGCAAGCACTTATGTTTACAATTGTCACCAGTTGACAATCTCTTCTCGCAAACTTCTCCACATGTATGTGGGATTAGCCAAGGATGAGGGGGTGGGTTGTCTGTTTTACCACAAAAACAGCGATATTTGCGAGGTATTTCTTCCTTGGAATACGAATGCCGGCACTTTGGGCAGCACCATTCGATTTTCTGTTGTTTTATTACAGCTATTGGGCCGGTACTTTCTTCGCTACGTAAACTAATGCTATCGTTGGACCATTTTTGTATACAAGATAGATGGAAGTAAGAAAAGCAGTGGTCACAAGTCCAAATAGCGTGACTTTTCTTTATCGATCCTATGCATATGAGACACGTAACGGAACGGCCGCTGATTGCTTCTTCTAACAGGTTTTTAGTCCTGTTAAGCATTTGAGTGTCTCCTCCGCCTCGCCAGTAGCTCTGGAACACACCTTCCAGGACGGTGGACTCGCAAGGCTCCTCATCTTCAGACGACGACAGTTCCTTCATTTCCTTTAGATGTTTTTGAACATTTTGCTGCATTTTTGCAGCGGCGTCTCTATATCGGCGTGCCATGGTCGTTGTAGTTTAAGACTAGTGTTTTGAAGTAAGAGTACTTTCAGGGATATAGTGAAAATTGTGAGTAAAATAAATTAAAATCGAAATGATAAAATTCGTCTTCCTTCCAGTCAGGCATGACGTTGACATACAAAATTTTCTAATGTCAAACGTAATGGACACGTCAATTTCAATTTGTGTTCATTGTTGGAAATCGCAACCAGAAAGAAATTATTATTTATCAAGATTTTTTATATAAAATTATATTGTTTAACTAAAAATAAAATGAAACAGATTTTTGCTATCAAAATACTTATCAAGACAGAATTTAGAATTTTTGGTGATGGCAAGAACAATTAAGTACTATGTTTTATTAATTTCTAATTAAACTGTCTAAAACATACATTTTATTAATTCTAATCAGAAGTATAGGTATACTGTTAAAAATATAGGTAACACATTTTATGAAATAAAATGAACATTATTACATTTCCGAATAGTGCCATCTGTCGGCGAGTAGCACAAATACGAAATATTTAATATTTTACGCTATTATGTAATAGATGGCGCTTGTAGTAGATAAAAAGTTTGAAGTTAAAAACAGTTGAATAAGATTGATTACTAAAAATTCTTTAACGAATAGATAATATGACACAACTTGAAAAATGGAATTTAATAACGTGATTAAAAAATTAAATACTATTAGCTTTTGTTTTACTCTTGTTACCACCATTCAAGAATAATATAATTCTAGTTCTACTTTGTTCATTATATACTTAGGTATGCTGTATCACATCTCCACTTTTCTAGGGTCTACCCGTTTCTCAATACAATTATTACGTTATGAAGCCCTGGTACTGCGAAAGCAATAATAATGTATATTATATTATAAACTTTAAATAATGCCGTTGACATGCGTAATTAATGGAAACTAAATTAGAATTGATTTCCTGTATTATCGAGGATAGCATAATAGCTTTTACTGAGGGGGTGAACAATCATCCAGTGACTCCACCCGCCTTGAGTAAGGCGAGAGGTAGTGTCTGGCTGACTAGAAACCACCCCGTTCCTACTTTTATTTCGAAGCGGAACCCGCTATATCGTACGTAGCTCCGGATAAGTAACGTATGAGAACATGAAAACTGGGTACAGTACAATAAAACATGATATAAGTTATAATTAGACGTTTATTTATAAATCATTCAAGTTACAATCAAGCTATATTAGCTTTTTCATCAAATTATCAACTTAATTACAATCGCCAAGCATCGCAATCCTGACATTATTTTAATTTCAATTTAACACAACACACATCAAATTAGTTGTACTTATAAAGCGTTAAAAATAACAAATCCAAAATAAAAACTTAAACTAAATGATAATTAAATTAAAATATTATGCACAGATATTTTCAATATCTTATTAGTATTAAAAGCATTTTTGCGTAATGACTAAACATAAGAGAATGGTAACATTATTATATTAAAAAAAATACAGAAGTGGTCAATGGCACTATTGAATCACCACTAAAAAGGTACTACATAATAATAGTTGTTATTAAGGCTGTAGCACCGCAAAGAAATATAGGTTATTTTATATACCAAAATAATAGGGTTGACGACTAATTTTTATTTTAATGTCCGTCTGGTAGATTATTTTAGACACGTATTTTTATTTTCTTACAAAAACGAATACTTTCGACGATATATTGATTTGAAATGTCGTGTGACGTCACTTCTATGTACATTTTATACGTAGAAATGACGTTTTAGCCCCTACTCCTAAACTTTTATTCGTTTTATCTAAGTAGGTATCATTTTATTATACAACAACATAAAAAAATACGTGTCTAATATTTTTTCATTACCTAACTGACGAACTAATTTAGATTTTAAATTTTCATACCCTGTCATCATCCCTATACATCGGGCCATGACAAACTAGGACACTCTCATTGTAGATATGAAACCATTTTGGTTTATGGCACACGCTTGTATTGTGTCAGTAAAAGATCTTAATGGTTGGTTACCCTTAACAAATGGACGGATTATTCTTATTAACATTAGTGGACGAATTTTGGAATTATAATATTTGTTCCATAGTTTATAGAAGGCTGATCAATTTTCATCTAAGGTCAAAGCAAATGGGATTTTAACCAATCACACCGCAAGACAAAAGATTTGATAGCTTCTTATGTTAGTTTATTGTTGCATTGATCAGCGTTCTAAGAACCGATGAGTTATCTAACGAACTCTAGTATTGATTTCTGGCTTTTTATTTTTGCTCGACAACCTGAACCATCCAGCCTTTTTGTTATTATCTTTGGGCATAGATATTGATCGGGATACCCTTTCTCTGTCGCTCTCCCGGTTTAATAGTTCGCTTGATTGAGATTTTTTGCCATCTCTTGCTACTGATTTCCGTGGTGTGGTGTTTGTGTCTTTGATTCTTTTATCAGATTTTTTGTATAGTGTTGAGCTAGAGCTTGTTAACCGACTGTTCTGTGGTCGCCTAGTCAATGTGGTTTGGCTGTATGATTTATTTTTTTGTAACGTCACCGGCCTGTCTTCTGTCAGCGTTTTTGTTGAGGATGCCTTCTTCACAATTTCTTTGGGCTTTGATTTGCGTGGTCGCTGTGCGTAGTGGACATCGTGTTGGTCGTTGTAATGTTTAGGTGTCCAGGGCGCGAATATTGAGAAGCTCTTTGATGTGGTCCGAACTTGGAGGTTGGAGGAGTTGACTGAGGAGACGTCATCACGGGAGCGGTTGCGTGTCATGCGACCGGGGTCTGGTATGTCACCGACTGGAATGCAAACAACATTTAAGACGAAGGTTCTATGGAATCTAATACAAAATTAAATTAAGAACCTAACTGTTCTTTTAATTCTAGAATTTTTAGAAAATTCTACTTACCAGTAGTAGCATGTAAGTAAACGACACTGCGCTGTGATTGGTGACTGGAATCGCCTTCAGTGCTGCTCTCACCAGAGTTAGTAACTGGTGTCCTGCGGCGGTGTCTGCAATTAATAAATTAGATTTATAATTTGCTAAATATTTGCAAGCAATTTACGCAAGTACCTCTGAATAATAGTGACAAGGTCAAAACAATATGAATTGCATGTTCAGTGCAAGGATATTTACTTCTGACTTGCTTAAGGAATCTAAAGTAGTAATTTGTGTTAATATTGCATTATACGGTAAGTGGAGTACAGTACTACATAATCAAAATGGATACGGTTATGTCCTGAATCTATAGCCTTATCAGATTCTTCAAGCCAATCATGAGGATTTTAATAAAAACTCACTTAAGGAGTTTGTTTCCGTTCATGTTTACAATAACGATTATGACTCAACAACCACAAGATATTAAAAGCCTTTAAAGAATGTATACTTACTTAACATCCCTGCTGAGTTCCTGCTTACTGCCTCTCAATTCTGACGAGCTGCCTCTATCATCATGTCTCCGCCTTACATCTCCTTTAGATCCCTTCAAAGTCTTCGAACTGCTATGACTCCTGGACCTTTCATACGGACTGATTGGCGGCTTCGCATTCACCTTCCTATCAAATTGACTCTCTGTTTCCGAATTACTCTGTATTTCGGATATGTTCTGCAGATTTCGTTTGTAGTGTTTGCCGTTCGGTGATTCGCTTTTCTCGTCTCTATGTAGGTTCGATAGAGAGTAGCTTTTGCTTGTTAATTCACCATGATCTACTTCATCTAGACCTGTGCTGGAATTTGAGATGGTTTTTCTCAGTGTACCATGTTTTGTATGAGTGTACCGTTTCGTTTCTGTTGAAGGTTTGACGTTGGCATCTGAATCTGGATCTGTGTCTCCAAAGAAGCGAAGGTTCTTTGCAGGTGATGTCAAAGGTTTGGCGGGTTTGGGATACGTTTTCCGTGGTGCCTCATCTTCTGTTGTTATTACACTTTCCTTCTCGATCTGAAAGTTAAAGTAGTTTAAAAATTATGTAGCCAAGTTTAAGTTAGAGAGGGTATCTGCAATAAAATCTCTTTTATAGAAATGTACTTGAAAAAATCTTTTACTATAAAATAATCGTATCACTTTTATGGGAGGGGTCGGTAAGCGAGCAGACGGATCACCTGATGGTAAGCCATTGGCGCCGCCCATTGACACCTGAAACTCTAGAGGCGTTACAAGTGCGTTGCCGGCCTTTTGTGAATTGGGTATTTGATGATTGTTGGAGATTTGGGGATTGGAAAGGGGAGTAATTGGGCCTCCGGTAACCTTACTCACACGACGAAACACAACACAACCGTTGAAGCATGGCTCTCCTATACTTTAAAAACCACTTAGACGACGTAGAAAATATCTTTTGGAAGCTCCTTTAATTAATAAAATAGTGACTATAACACCTTATTTTAAGCTACCTTAGTATTCTTCTTCTTCCTGGTAAGACGATCGAGAGACTTGAACCAGTTGCCAGCGGGTGGTGTGGGGGCGGCCTGCCGTCGTGGCGGGGATGGAGTCGGGCTCGGCGTGGCCAACCTGCGTCTCTCGCGGTAACGTTCAGCCTGGAAGTAAAGGTTAGAAATTAGATGGTTATCAATACGACTGCCTCGTTGGCCAGTGTGTGTGCCTGTTAGTCAAGTGGTCTCGGGTTCGATTCCCTGGTCGGGCAAAGTATTACAGGAAATAAAAAAAGAGTCAGTAGTACGGTGTCTGGAATTGTGCTTGGTATATGGCAAAAGGCTGGTGAGCCCCATTACATGAAACTTATAGTAGAAATACTAAAAAGTGGGTGTTACATTGTACAGTGGCATTAAGTGCCGTAATGTGCACCTCTGCCTGCCAGCAAGAGCGAGCCTGCCTGCAAGCCGATAAAAGGCGTGATGTTATGTTATGACAATGGGCTAGATGACTAATTTTTATTTTAATGTCTGTCTGGTAGATTATTTTAAAACATCGCACAAGTATTTTTTTTAAGAAACGTATACTTTCGACGATATGTTGATTTGAAATGTCGCATGACGTCACTTCTATGTACATTTTATACGTAGAAATGTCGGTTAAGCCCCCATTCCTAAATTTTGATTCGTTTTATCTAAGTATCATTTTATTATACAACAAATTAAAAACATACGTGTCTAATATTATTTTTACCTATCAGATGGACTAATAAGATTTTTAATTTTCATACTCTATCATCATCCCTATCGTAAATAATTTAGACAATATTATGATATTGTGTGTCTTTGATTGCTAGAATTACTATGTAAATGTAGACATCAAGTTGTCAATGAGTTTGTGGTCATGTCATTGAGGACCATAGCCGGAGATATATTTTCTGAAGAACTCATGACTGCTGGGGTAGACGTGTTCTGTGGTGGAGATCGCGTCTAGGTAAACATAATATACGTATAAGCCTGAAGCCTGACGCCTTCCAGCTGGACGGAGTGACGGTAGGATGTGTAAAGTGGCTGGTTCTACCTAGGTGCGATGAGTTGAAGATGGAGTTCAGTGCTATTGGAAGGGACCAGCTAGCAATGAGCACTGAGCAGAAATGATCTAGTGATGATTACCAAAATCAAACACAACATTCAGAAACTGTCTTCTAGATGATAAGTGTGACTAATTGAGCCCAATGTATGTACACATTCCACGTAATATAGTTTTTGTGATCTGAGATCATCTTATTATTTCTCACATACCCGCTACATGTTAGCACGTCTCCACACGAACTACGCAGTTCATTGACACTACTCGGGTTAATAAAATAGTATCTTCTAGGATACTTAAGATTATAAAATTAGTTTTTTTACTTCATTTATTTTGTACTAGTTTTTAACCTCGGCTTTTATTATCATCAGTAGCCCGTAAGAATCAGGGTAGTTTCCTAAATTTTATTTTAATGTCCGTCTGGTACATTAATTTAAAACTTTAGACACGTATTTTTTCTTTTCTTACAAAATTTAATACTTTCGACGATATATTAATATGAAATATCGTGTGACGTCACAGCGTGTCACATTTTGTAGCACGTTATGACGTAACGACCTCCTAAACTTAGCGCCATTTTATCTACGTATTGCAACTTATTACGAAAAAATAAAAAAATACGTGTCTAATATTTTTTCATTATTTAACTGACGGAATAATTAGATTTTTAATTTTGATATCCTGGAAACTACCCAAGGGCCTCCTCTACCAAAGAGATGTTTGCCATAATCACCACGCTTGGCTTTGCTCGCGAAAGATATAACGTTTGTCCTTTTACGTATTTCCTAACTATAATTTCAGTATGCAAAACTTAAAGAAGACTAAAGCGTAAAGACATAAATAACAAAAAAACGAACATACTTTCGCTTAAATAATATTAGTTGGGGATTTTTAATTAAGCATAACTAGTCAAGCTTATTTATTTAATTTGCCAGTGCACTTTAAACTTGAATAAAGTGATGACGGATAGCAACGGATGTCGGCTAGATACCTCCTCAGGTTATATGCTGCCTTGGTATCTTCTCATATCAATCAAGATGGTTTTTTGTGTGAAAGCCACAAGCCTGTCAGTGCTTATTTAATTATAATTTTATTTTGAGTTTTTATTTGTTATGATGTCAAAACATTAATTGTTTGTGTAAGTATAATAAATTGTAAGCATTACTAAGAAAAAATGTTAATTAACTATAGCCACGAGATGGGTCTGACTTTCATCTCCCGTCAATAAATTTTTTGTGGTGTCAAAATTGTTATAGGTGATATGTAGTTTATTCTTAAACTAGTTAATATTATCAAATAATACAGACTGGCCATAATTATCTACTTTATTTTTAACTGCCAGTATCAGCTTACGACAAAAAAGGTTGAAACTGTTTGTATTTGGTAATTCAAATACGATATTAACGCTTGTCTATGTCAACATCCGTTTGAGTTGAATGACCCGTGTGTGGAGACAGCTAGTGCATAGACAATATACTTGTAGACAGATAAAATATAATTAGGTATGAATTTTAAAATGTACGAAATATTTGCAGTAATATGAGATAATCTTGTACAGATTTTTTGTTTACATATAAACCGTAGTTCAAAGAATATTATTATTTTTAACTTGTAACAGTGACAGAATGTCGAGGGGCAGAAAGGTTCTCGAGTAGAGGCCACGTATCGGGAAGCGCAGCGTAGGACGTCCATCCGGAAGGTGGACCAACGACCTGATTAAGCTCGCAGGGAGTGAGGAGGGATGCAGGTCGCTTCAAACCAGTCTATCTGGAAGTCATTGGGGGAGGCCTATGTTCAGCAGTGGACGTCCTATGGCTGATATGATGAATCTTGTACCTACCTTCTCAGTTAAACTGTCAAACCCCGCGAGGACACCGGTGACCGCTTGGTGTTTGACAGTTTAAAGTACATATACCATCACATGACTAAAAGGGGTTTATAGATGCATTTTTATTTTTGTATGGACCGGGGAGTGGTGTTATTCGGCCTTTATTAATTTATCCAGTTATATTATGAGAACACATATAGGATAACGGAGCAACTCCACTATCATGCATAAGAGGCACAGTTCTAGGCTCTAAGCTCATAAAATTTTGCCCTAGAATCACCTCCCCTACAGGACCTTGGTGGTTTAGCAGTTGTAGCCAAATGCCAATTAGCGCTTGTCTACATGTAGAATAGAAAACCAAATTATATGGGATTGACGTAAATTTTGACACTTGTCTGTGCCATCCCCATACATTTAGTTGTCGACAAGCGCTAAAGTGGCGTTTGGCTAAAGGCACCGGATCTACTTACCTAATAAAGACACATTGTATACGTCATTTTAATAAATATGTAGTTAATGAGAATTTTTTAATCGATATACAAAACTATCTCTTTAGCCAAGTGGTCGCAAGTGCAACTACTGGGCAAGGGGTCTCGGGTTCAATTCCGTGGTTGGGTAAATATTACTGGGTTTTAAAAAATCTCAGTAGTAGCACGGAGTCTGAAATTGAGCCCGGTATATGGCAATAGGCACACCCCCTATTACATGGGACTCATAATAGAGGTATATATTACAGAGGTATAGTGGCATTAATTGCCATAGTTACCTTCGGGGATAAAAGCCAAAGGCGTGACGTTATGTATATATGTACAAAACTATCCTAATCGTACTATACTAAAGAAGCCTTCTATTTAGCCCTGTGTATAACATAAGTAAGATGTTAGATACATCTACATATAGCTACTAACAATTTTTTATCACATTTTGACACTACAACCGGAACAAACAATTAACTGTACAAGAGATATCAATGATTGTCTTGACAACTTAAGGCTTAAGGCCACCCACCATATGGTCGGTGACCTCAACTGGCCCATTTTGGTACAACGAAGGTAAACAGTTTTCTTGTAAATAATATAAGTCATACATCCCCGAAGGGGTAGGCAGAGGTGCACACAGAAGTAACACCCACTTTTCACTATTTATGTTATAGGGTGAGCTTATTGCCACATACTGGGCACATTTCCAGACTCCGTGCTACTACGAAGTTTTTTTTAAACCCAGTCATACGTTGCCCGACCCGAGACGCCTTGCCCGCCCGGCAAACTCTTGTAAATAATACTTGAATGTATAACCTTAACTCGTCGAGTACCGTCATTATAGACACAATTATAGAACAATAGGTTGCGGTCACCGGTGCCCGCTTAGTGTTTGACAGTTTAAAGTTTGTTGTCACAGTTGTATGGGTGGCTGGATGCTGGATATCATGTTGCCTTCTTCTTCAATGAGTTTTTGACTAAAGTGTTAAGTTGTTACCATAATACAATGACATTTAAGAAGCTTAAAACATACCTAATGCGACTTAGAAATTATTGAAGCAGCAATATGTCAGTAGTTTATTTATGTGTGCGTATACTTGCAACACCGTAATGTATGAAGTGTTTTTTTTAAGGGGGGAAAATCATCGAATGACTGCTCCCGCCTGGGTGAGGCGGGAGGGAGTGTCAGACTCTTACTGACTAAAAACCATCCCGTTCCTTCTCCTGCACGTCGAGCCGGAGCCCCGGTTACCCGTTAGATTCTCCGCGACAATGTATGAAGTGTAATGACGGGCCATGTCACGCGACAGATGTCCTTTGTATCAATGTGTGTGTAGTCTGACATGTCATACATAGTCCATTTATTGAGAAAGGCTATACGCTATAAAACATCACGCTACAATCAATAGGGGCCAAGCAGAGCGGGTGAAAGCACGCGGGAGTACCTTCTTTTTTTTTGTTGACGGGTGGAAACCTTCTAACGGCGCCTAGCTTTTTGAGGAAAAAGACTAGGGAGTGTGGGATTTTTATCTCACTAAAACCTCCGCGGTGTCCACTTGAAGGAGGCACCGCTAGATTATAATAATAATTAGAAAAGTTGACTACAGATGTTTGTTTTCTACATAATATATGTGAAAACAGTCCCATGTTAGTAGCACAAAACAATAAAAGTACAATAATGATCATGACACGTCTTGCTCTGTTTCAGCAATCTGCTCTGATTAACATGTCTGAACACGTTACCTGCTTTGTTGACTTAAAGTAAATA